CATTTTTAGCTTGTTAAGTTACAATGATTGACTTTAGAATATGAAACCAGCCCTAAATCCCAGGATAAACCAGACTTATTAATGATGTATTAACTTTTTAATATATTGTTGCATTTGACATTAAAATTTTGTTCAGAACACTTGTATCTACGTTTATGAGTATACTGATGAGTAGTTTTCTTATGTCTTTGCTTTGTTTTGGTATCAGGATAATGGTGACCTCATAGAATGAGCTGAAAAGTATTTCCTCCTTTTTCATTTTCTAGAAAAGTTTGCTTAAGATTATTATTTCTTCCAGAAGTGCCTAATAGAATTTACTAGTGAAAAAGCTATCCAGACTTGGAGTTCCCTTTGTGGGAGAGTTTTTAGCTACAAATTGAAGTTTTCTTTATAGCTATCTAGAGTATATTTGGGTTATCTATTGCTTCTTGAGTAAATTTTGGTAGTTTGTGTCTTTCAATAAATTTGTCCATTTCATCTAAGTTGCTGAATTTGTGAGCATAAAGTTTTTCATATTATTCCCTTGTGATATTTTTAGTATCTGTAGACTCTTGTGATGTTACCTCTCTAATTCCTGAGATTGGTCATTTGTATTCTTTCTTTTCCTTTCTGTATTAGTCTTGCTACAGGTTTCTTCTTCTCAAAGAACCAGTTTATGGTTTAATTTGTTTTCTCAAAGAACTTCACTTTTCTCAAAGAACCAGTGCATGGTTTGTCTATTACTTTTGCTTACTAATTTACTGATTTCTTCTCAAACTTTACCATTTTCTTTCTTCGGCTTAGAGTTTAATTTCCCTTTTTTCCCCTACTTTATTAAAGGGGAAAGCTGAGGTCAATGATTTGAGATTTTTCTTCGTTTCTAATACATAGACGTTAGTGATATAAAATTTCCCCTAAGTGTTATTCTGATTTCATTAAGAATTTCCCCAGAAATTCTCATGTTGTGTTTTTGTTTCCATTCATTTAAAAATAATGTCTAATTTCACTTTTCATTTCTTCTTTGTCTTATGAGTTATTTGGATGAATGTTATTATTTCCCACATATCTAGGGACTTTATAGAGATCTTGGTATCAATTTCCAACTTAACTCCATCGAGGCCAGAGAACATACTTTGTATAACTGAAATCCTTTTACATTTCTTTTTTCTTTTTTTTGAGACACAGTCTCACTCTGTCACCCAGGCTGGGGTGCAGTGACATGATCTCAAGTCACTTCAATCTCTGCCTCCTGGGCTCAAGTGACTCTCCCATCTCAGCATCCCAAGTAGCTGGGACTAGAGGCACGTGCCAACATGCCTGGCTAATTTTTGTACTTTTTGTAGAGCTGGGGTTTTGCCATGTTGCCTAAACTGGTCTCAAACTCCTGGACTTAAGCAATCTGCTCACCTCGGCCTCCCAAACTGCTGAGATTACAGGAGTGAGTCACCGTGCCCGGTCTCCTTTATGTTTCTTGGGACTTTTTTATGGCCCAGAATATGCATCCTTCTCTGTAAATGTTCCACCTGCATTTGAAAAGAAGATGTATTCTGCTACTGTTTGATAGAATGTTTTTAAAATGTCAATTAGGTCAAATTGGTTGATATTACTGTTCAAATCTTCTGTGGACATACTAATTTTTTGTCTACTTACTCTATTAATTATCAAAAGAGGTATATTAACATCTTTTGCTCTAATTGAGGATTTATTTCTCCTTGCAGTTCTTGTCAATTTTTGTTAGTATATCTTAAAACTTTATTAGGTCAATAAACACATCCTCTTGATGAACTGACTTTCTTATGATTATGAAATAACCTTCTTTAGCACTAGTAATATTCTTTGTTCTGTAACTTAATCTGATACTAATACAGGTACTTCAACTTTCTGTAGTATACGCATGGTGTATCTTGTTCCACCCCATTACTTTTAACCTATTTGTGTCTTTATATTTAAGGTGCATTTCTGGCAGACAGCATGTAGCAGGCTTGTACTTTTTAAATCCAATCTGTCAATCTGTCTTTTAACTTTAGTTTTTCAACATTTATATCTAATATAGATAGGTTCAAATCTACCACTTGGCTTTGTTTCTCCTTTGTTCTTTTTTTTTACTGTCTTCTTCTGGATTGCATATTTCTTAATGATTCATTTGTATTGCCTTTGTTGGCTTATAAGCTGTAAATTCTTTGTTTTGCTATTTTCTTCATTGCTTTGAGGCAAAGTATGTATCAATGTATCACAGTCTCATCACTTATCACAGTGATATTATACCACATCTTGTATAGTATAAGAGCCCCACATCAGTATGCTTCCATTTTTTTTTTTTTTTTTT